CCAAAAACTGCAACGAAACGTCGCTTATGATAAAAAAAAAGTTCTTCAATAATATAATTAGAAACCTTTTCCATGTCTTCCAAAGAGAACATTTATATAGTCAGTGGCAGCAAGAGCGAATTATTTAACGATTCTCTGAAAGTAACCGAATATATTAAACACTATGATTATTGATGCAAAAATGTTTTATTTGTTAATCGTGTAATAGAACGATTCGAATAATATCGAAGTTTCAATTAGTTCACGATGTTTATCACGAATTTAACGAAATAAATTTTATTCGGTATTTATATATTTATCTTTCTACATTAATCAATAACATGCGCAGTGCATATGACAAAATTAGCGCGAATTTATCGAGCCAATGCCTCAAGCAAAACGAGGGAGTAAATTTATTTTCATATAATTACATCCTGATGCAGTAATGCAATAATATTATAGAAACTAACTCATATGTAAAATCATTCGGCTATTGCATTTCGATATACAATCCAAATTTTCACAGCGAAATTAAGCGAAATTAAGTTAATGGATTTGCAGAATTTTCCGGTATTTCGAATAAAAATTCATAATTTACATTATGTAATAATTTACAACACAGTTTTTCTCAGCTGATATCTTTATGTTGGAGTCGCAACTTGAATCTCTCAAGTGCACAAAATATGCTATAATTTATCAATAAAAAATATTATAAAGCAGACACAAATACAAACAAACGTTCTATAGAAATTTAGAAAAATATAACGTTGAATGTTATTTCAAATAAAGAATCGGCTCTCTGGCGAAACTGTCGATACCGAAAAACGAAAGGGTGATGCGAAAGGATATGGAAACGAACAAAACGTAACTATGCGGAATATTTTTCGTTCTATGCAAATATTATTTGTGAGAGATATCATCGCGTAAAATATTGTATTATCTGTTTTTAACTTCTCAAAGTTTTGATCTGTTAACCATATGACTAAACACGATATTTTTCGGGATGGTAAAACATCGTTCCGTGTATTGTTCTTTTACTTCGCAACAACAAAAAAAAACGGATTATCAATCGTAGCGAGCGAAGTTGAAGCCACTCGTATTTCTTACATTTTCGTAAACTCTTCCCTCGACCTACTATTTATTTCGGGCGTTGCTAACTCGTATAGCTTTCTGTGTCAGCTAACTTTGAATAAATCCAATTCTCGAAATATTTTATGCATATTTATTGAAATGCCATGGCAATAACTGTACTACTAAAAGGGTATTCGGTAGTATAATAATGACATAAAAGATAACTTTGAATATTTTAGGAAATTTATTTTGTAAAATTTGTGTGCCGTAAAACTAATCGATAAATTACCGAGTTGATTACATAGCCGAAAGGTAACGTTAATAGAACTATTGAAAACGTCTCAATTTACAGAGACCAGCTATTAGCACTTATCGTGCTTGTATTGCTTGCATTAAGGGGGTGGAAGAGGAGGGAGAAACACATTTCGCGTGTGTACGATTATGTTATCGTGCGCATTTGGCCAATCGGGAAATTGCTTGTGGTACAACCGACACTTTCGAGAATCAGATATTGAAACAGCTATAATGCGTATCCAATGAGTTTACATTGCGATGCTGCGGATGCAAAAAAGTTGTTAATATGCATAGAAATCAACGTAATAATAACAATAATAATAATAATAATAATAACAATAATAATAACAGTAATAATAATAACAATGTAAGATGCATTTTGCAACGTCAAAAATACCGATACGATATTATACTCACAGCAGATCTAAGCATTAAGATCGAATTTCCTTGAAAAATTTATCAGCATCACTACATACGTAATCGATAGTGGATCCGACGAGCGAATCTTTATTTGGCCGAATCTATACGGTAGATGAAAAAGGAATGGAAACACGAAGCGATTTTATAGGATGGTAGTACTGACACCATCCGACCTACACACGAATTTACGAAAATTAAATCAGAGGTACATACGCGAGATACATACTTTTATATCCCTTTTCGTAGCGAGATCTCGTTAGAAAGAGTATAAGCGGAATTAAATCTGTGGATGACCCATTGTCGACACACTCGTCTTTGCCACACGGTATTCTCGTACACGTTTTTTTTTTTTTGCAAAAAAAAGCCTTCCGAAAATAGAAATATTAAGGCAATGCTATAATTCCATTTAAACTACATTATAATAATTGTCATATAGCTTAATTAACGTGATGTTAACGTCGAAATCCGCTCGCTTTAAAACTGATTCGAGAATAAAGCGCATTAGAGAAAAATCAAGTTCCATATCTGTTGACGAGCGTTTTGAAAAATGTGTAATAGTGATACGCGCGTTACTTTATTTTTTGTCTTTTCCGCTATTGTATATCCGCTCCCGTGCAATAAGAACACACGCAATTGTCAGAACAATCTCCATACAATTCTATACCGCTACTGACGTCATCAATACATAGCGCGTATAGCTAAATCGATCATATTGTCCGTTATAACTCGACTAACAAACTAACAACTCATGTAGCGCAAAACTGTAATTCTCTTAACTGTCAGATGAAACTCATCGATTCGAGCGGCATTAAATTAAACCTCAGATATATTACGATTTCTACGACCATCTGCGAAATACGTTACAGATTGCATGAGTGCGTCAGCGATGCACGAGAGCGGAGTGTTAGATCAATCAACGAGTTGCGCAAGCAACAAAAAAGAAGAGGACTTGCATAATTTGTCATGAGTCGTTGCTTCACTTTTACCACATACGTGCAAACTTCTCATGTACTTTCGATTGCAAAACCTCTTTGCAGTCGACAGCAGATGTACCGTAATTCGAATTTGGAATAAACTTTAATTTTTGTTTTTAACAAAAGTTTCCCCCGATTTTACAGAGTGAATACGGGGATGCGATCTTTTATATAGTCGCGGAAAAATATAATCAGTAAAAAAAAAACGCATGATTTGCAAATACCTTTGTATTTTGCACTCAAAATGCAACTAGATCCGATTAATCACGTGCATTTTGCACACCGTTATCGCGACTATCGTTATTACGGTCATTATCGGTGTTATCACGTAAACAAATGTATATCGATTAATTTGGTATATTGATATTAACGATATTAACATTGTTAATAACACCAAAATTTATTTTCACGCGTGCTTAATAAGTGAAAATTTATTTTAATGCAAGTTTAATGTAAGTTACATGTAACTTAAATATATTCTTAATTACACGATATAATTTAGAATTATTGTTATTTATACAGGGTGTCCGGTACGTTTCGACGAAACGCTAAACTGAATCGATACGTCCTCTACCATTTTGCAATTTTCGCAATAGTCAATGAGATGTTATCTATAAAGATTGTTGAATAAAAAATTGACGCATAAGACAACTTTAAGATTTCTTTCGGTGTTCTTTATGAAGTATCTTAAAGATGTTTCTTAAAGAACTCTTGAAGATATCTTAAGATTGTTTTATGCGTCGATTTTAGACATTCTGCTCATTATAATAACTAAAACAAAAGTTGCGAAAATTGCAAAATGGTAGAGGACTTTTCGACTCAGTTTAGTCTCTACCTACATACGAACGCTTTGTCAAAATTTACCGGACACCTGTATATTGTTTTCAGTATAAGCTCCGAAAATACATAGAAAATCGAATGATGGTACTTAACTCAATTATTTTTTCACGTTCGCTTAAGAGGAAGCTTAAGAGGCTTGACCGTAATTCAATTTCTACGTTAACAGGCGAAAAACATTTCGTTTATTTAGGTAAAACAAATAAGATGTAATCATTCTTTAAGTGTTTTATGTAATACGCCATCTCTTTAAATCTGAATGTTTTGCGCGGAAAAAAGAGAGAACCGTGTCGTTTCTTTCGTACTTGATTCTTCATAATTCCTTTTGTTAACAACAATGCCTCAGTTTTAATGCCGCGAACGACCACGATTTTTACGACCGCGTACGCGACAAAATTGATGTAGTTTGCGAAGAAAGTTTTTACAGCACGATTTTTTCACGCGATCGCGACATCCTTGCGAAGTATTTTGTAAGAAATTATTCCACAAATTGTACACTTGAGTCCGACTAAAATTATCCGGATTTCCGTTCTAAACTCAAATTAATCCGTCCGTCACCAAAACTTCGAATATTACTCCCTCGTGTACGGCTCGCGAATGTGTGCAAATTTCTTTTTCCACGCGCACGACATCGTTTGTGTAATTTAAATTTCACGCTGAACGTTCATTTCCAGCAAGCGTTTAATCCTCGGTTGTATTAATTAGTTTACGATGTTACATGTATTATTATTTATTAACAAAAAGCATCGTACGTAAAACGTTTCTTTAAACATACATCCATTTTCCTCCATATTGCTATCGCAGGAAACGAATATGTTATTTTATTCTTCTAATACAATAATTCGTCCACGCGCTCTTCCGCGATCTTGATCGTTGGAATCATATTTTTTTGAATTAGAGATCTCGTTAAAACGAGGTAATTAAAATCGCGCGTGACGAGAGGCGTTCGGCAGTTCCGAAATCCAGAATCGTTCTCGCTTTAGTTAACCGGCTCGTTGGTTCACGAGAATGACTCGGGCAGATTCAGTGAACAACTGTGTTCCACAGCATTTCGAGCGTTTCAAACGCCCCGTGAGCAGAGTCTCTTGCTCGTCCTTAATCGTAGTTACGTACTTGCACCCGTTCGCTTTGATATGGGAATATAGCGATGCGAGAATACGTACCTGGAATACCTCGCACACTCGTAAACTATCTCAGGCGTGGCGTTGGGCGCCCTGATTCGCGGGTAGTTGCAACGCCGAAAGGAACTGAAGTACGCGTCAGCCTTCCCCAACAGCCGTCCCTGAAATGCACGAGATCGCGGAAATGCGGTTATTACTCTATTACGTTTTAACGCTAGGCTTTATAATAAAACTGTACAAAACATACCGAAGCACGCTAACTTCAGTAAAGTGGAGGTAGTAAACTTAAAATTACATGCTGTGCCGCCAATGAAAATACATAGAGCTCATAAATATTAAAGAAATTTGCAGACTTAATTTCATCCCATTCCCCCACCTTCTTTCTAATGTAACTTTCCCGAGTTGTTTGTAGAATGGAAGGTAATTGCAGAAATAAGATGAGGAATATTTGAATAAGAGTGTAAAGTAGAAACGTCGACGTCATTTGAACGCTGCTGAGTCGTGGCACGAAAGATTGTCGCGTCGCGCGAGCATGCAACAGCATCCCGGGCAAAAGACTTATACAGTCTATTCATTTATATGCGAAGGCGATAGCATAGCAAGGGAAATTTTCTCTCCTTTCCAACAGATTTTACACGGCGCCAAAGAAAATGTCTCGCCGTCCTGTTTGAATGCTTTTGATTGCTTCTCTTAATACGAAAAAAATATAGCGTGATCGTCTGGCGGAGAAGTAATAAGCTCGCTTGTCGTTTGCCAAATGCCGTTTTCTTCAACCATGTTATTTTTTTCGCGTTTGTTTCCATAATATAATAAAAGTCTCTGGCTAAACGTAAAATTACGCGAAAAGAACTTATATTATAAATAAGTTTTTTTTTTTTTTTTTTTTTTT